GATTGTTTGAAAGAAAGTTTAATACGACTTTGCTTCATTTAAGCAAGTCATCTTCAAATTAATTGAAGGTGACTTGTGATCTGTGCTGCTTCATAGTGAATCTGCACATTTTATATTTCATAGTCCCTCTGTACATTCAATGTCAGTAAAAAGACATATCTCCTTGATAGAAAAAAGACACACACACATGCATGTCTCTCTGTAGTTATGAGGCACTCATTGACATAATACATTAACCCAGTGAAACCTAATGTTTTTACCTGGACCCAAGTCTTAACCCTCAAACAGCCTTTGAAGAAGTGAGAACTGGCCAAAAACTCCTCACTTTCCAAAAATGTCCTCAGTCTGTCGGGTCTATGCTTCAAATGGTCCTCACAAAGGTATAAGTACAGGAAATCACACATGTAAGCACGCACGCATGCACACACACAAAACTAAAACTGGCTTGGCAAGCTGGCAGTGACTGACTGGAATAACCATAGAGTATCAGTAAACAAAATACTTCCATGGAAGTGCTTTATCTCCACAGTGACACACAATACCAACTGAAGATAAGCTTTCACCCACCCCCGCATAAGGAATGCATTAGCATTTTGAAGTAACTCACAGTTTCCAATGGGCTCAGAGTGAGTACATGATGGATTTTTAATGTTTTATGTCAAATTGCAAATTCTACTACATTACATGAAATAACGCACACTTTACAACATACAAAAGACAGTGAGAAACACATTTCCCATTGCTGTAGTGAATGAGGAAACGTCAAACAAAAATTCAGTGAAGACATTATAGACACGTGCCAGCATACAGGAAAACATCAACAACAAAAAAAGGGCTCCTCATTTCTGTGGAAGTGCTAGATTTGCATAATCAACAGTTTGGCCTCATGACTAAGCAGTGTAAAGTTGATAGTCAGATATAACCAACATCTGTTGTATCATGTCAAGTACAAATTGCCTGAGATAATGTGTTGTTAAGAAAGTTATTCACTCAGATAAGAGACTATTTCTTGAATGAGCCTGAATAATGGCTTTATGTGAATCCGATAAGTTTAGTCT